GTAGTATTAAAGATTATGAAGTGCCCGGGGAGAGGTCAATGGCGGGAAAAGGAGACATATGTGATACTATATGTAATACTTTAATAAAAAAGATAATTCTCCTCAAATGAGAATTAAACTACTGACCACTTTTTCTTGTCTAAAATACTAAGAGGAGGGGGGGAAAGACCTTTGTGATTTACACCAAACTTCTTTGTCTGCTTTTGGAAGGGGTCAAGCCCTACCCAACAGAAGGGTTTCCACTGCAGCAGTACTTGTTCCCAGGAAACTTGGTGCTTGCTACAATCCTTGAGCAACCAGAACCATGAAGCAATTCTTCTTAGTTAAAAACAGCAATGCCCCTTTCATGGCTTGAAGTTCTGATTATTCCGAGAATCAGAAGCCCTTTTTGTAAGAACTGCATCACTTAGTAACCATAGTTATAGCACCACATGGATCTTTCTACAATGCTACTCAACTATTATTAAACTTTCAAGCCATAATTAATGGCTAAATTATGCTATTACTAAGGTAGCAAATTAAGTTTAAATAATCTAAGTCATAATTACTGATTTTTTTAAGTGATTTAACTTTGATGTGCCTTAAGCCTAAACTTCACTATGCATTTTGACAGCTAAAAGGTTAGGTTTAGAAGTTACCTCTTCCCCAAAGCCTTAAAGTAAAAGGCAATTCAGAGTTATTTGCATATCAGCATTACTATTTTAGGATGCCAATCTGCACTATTTTTTCTAACTACAAAGTAAAATTTATTTTTCCACAATACTAGTGAGGACTGATCTCAGGATAGCAATAATATTTTTTTAATATTTCAATTATTCAAAAACTACTTAGGTTTTTTTCCTTAATAGTTAACATGAGACTTAGAGGGATTTTTTTTTTAATGTTATTTCTTGAAGAAAATTAGCCTACCATCTTGTAGCCCATTGAGAGTTTGCTGCATTTAAACATCTAGCTTGTTAACTAAACATCTTTCTTAGTTCACACTCAAAATACTCATTATTTTCCCCAGGAAATACATTAATCTCCATGTTCTATTTACTCTGTCACATCCACTATCTTCCCACTGTTTTTCTTCTGTCACTGTATTCAGCAGTTCCTCCAGAGCTTTTCTGCCTAAATCACTGTGGCACTGCGGGCCATTCTTCCCTGAGATGCCCACCCACTGAGCAGAAGCAAGCATTTTTCCCTAGAGCTGAGGGCACACTTTCATCTTCTCTCCCCACTCAGCCTCAACAGCAAGACAAACAGGCAGAGGCCGGCCCTGCCCTCAGACAGGGAAATATTTTGTGATTATAATTTGAATTGGGATGTTTTTGTTATTGTTGTTGTTTTGTTGTTTTTACACAGCTTAACCAACATTTAATAGCAATATTACAAGCTTTTCACTTTTAAAAGGAAATCATATCAAGTTAACTTGATATAGCAAAAACAAAAACAAAACCCGCCCCCCCCCCAATAACTTTATTCTTTTTGAAACTGTTCCTTTTAAAAACATCTAATCTTTATTGTAGTAACAATACACATTGCATTTGTGTATAGTCTTCTGCAGGGTAAGTGTTTAGAAGCATAGATCAAATTGTAACAAGAAACAGTTTAATTCATCTTTAATTGATACATTTTAAGGTAGCTTTAATTAAAGCAGTGGAGCATTAACTTCTGAAATAACATAAAAAAGAATCAAAGCATTTATTAAAACTGGCTGATGTATATTGCTGCTGCGCAATGTTGAAAATCTCTGAACAAAATACTCTTGGATCAAGATACACAATAATGACTTTTAATCAGATCACAGCCACATGAAACCTTGAGTCTTCAAGCTTTAAAAACACTGGCCAGTACTCAGAAAATGATAAATAGTAGAAATGAAATAAAATGATCTTTTAAAAATTAGAACATTATTAAAATAATGCATATTTACAAACTTAAAAATCACCGGATCAGATTTCTTAAATCAAAGTATAAAATCCTATATGGTACATTATATATAAGAAGTTCTTTGTACATGGTAATAGTTACAAGGTATCAGATCCAATAAAAAGTAAATCTGAGAAAAACATTCCTTGTAACCAGAGATATTACAGAATACTAATTCAGGAAGTTATTCAGCAGCTTATAAAGAAATAGGAAGTTGTTGACCAACTACTTGAAGAACTATTTCCTGTAGGAAAACTATAAGAAAGCTGAAGAAGGCAAAACTTTTCAGAGTAATAAAGAGAAATGATTTAAAAAAAATAAAAGCTCAATATACAACTTTGAGGAACTTAGTTTTAAACAGTAAATTCAGTAGATCAAATATTATACATAATATACATGCTAAGCTTTTTTTTTTACATACTTCACAATTATACAAGAGCTTAAATATGTATCATTGATAAATGTAGGTAGAATCATCATAATTCACTTTATCACTTGTCAAGCTAAAGTACAAGTCTTTTCCAGAAGATCTCATTGACCTAGGAAGAGCTTTAAAAATACCAATGGTTGCCTGTCCATAATCCTTCTTCAGTAATTACTCTGCCATGAAACAAGAGGATGGGCCAATTGACTTCAAAGTCATTCATCTGTGGTTACAAAGCAACAATTAGTTGCTTCTAAAATCAACATTTGTAAGTTTTCAAACACATCACATCACCTTCTAAGTTTGGACCTTTATGATCAGATTTCTTCATGACAAGTATAAATCTTGATAAAGTATATACTTGGTGTGTAGGTACTTGGTGTTATTTTTTAATCTTCACCTGAGGATACTTTTCCATTGATTTTTTGAGAGGGTGGAAGAGAGAGGGAAAGATGGAAAGAAACACATCAATTGGTTGCTTTTTGCACGCATGCACCCTGACCAAGGGCTTGGGCTGGGAAGGAGCCTGCAACAAAGACCCATGCCCTTGACTGGAATCGAACCCAGGACCCTTTGGTTGGCAGGAAGATGCTCTATCCATTGAGCCATTTTTTTATATACTTGTAAGTGGAAAGTGAGTTCTAACCTAAAAAGATGTTAAAATATAATTTTTTTCTCTAGTTCTAAAATATGCAACTAATTTTTCATTCTACATTTAGATGGCAACAAGAATTTTCTTTAGCCAAAAAGGAAAATATGTAAGTATGGATTGCAAAGAGAGCCTGACTTTGAAACATTAAGACTTGCATAAAAATGAACTTTGACAGAAGCAACTTTCCAAACGCTTCATTCATTATCATCTTTGACTCAGGGGACAGATATTAATCATTTACCTGTGCAGTACACAAAAATAAGTTGCTTATGGCAATTCAGAGCCAATAATTTCATGGAAATGGCTAGCAACTGCATGTGAACTAATCTTTTCATAACTTTCCTCCAAACTGCATACTGTGCATAAAACAACCTTTAGAAGAACAGAATAATACCCATCTTCCACATCCAATTCTCAGGTGCCTTCTCTATAATTCCTGACAGGTACCAGCTAACCCATGATTATGCCTGCTTTTACTGACCAAGATCTCTCTCTCAGAAAAAACCTCCTATTTCTGAAAGGTAAGAAATGAGAAAATTATTCAACTGAGTCAAAAATCCTAATATTTTTTAACATATAATAAGCCTAATTTTACTTCCACATGAGTTCCTCAAAAATATTTCCCCACCCCATTTTTTAAATTGAGGTATACATACCTCATTACATAACATTATTCAGGTGTACAACATGATTTAACATCTATACATATAAAAGCCTAACTGACCGTCCAACTTTTTGACCGATAACTATGACCTGCAATGACCACCAGGGGGCAGACGCTCAATACAAGAGCTGCTGAGCTGCCATGACTTGGCACCTGCAGTTCTCGGGTGACACACCAGAACCAGAGAAGGGAGCTTGATTCTGGGGTGCTTCACCAGAGAACCGCCCTCTTGCAATCCAGGACCCCTCAAGGGATGTCAGAGAGCCAGTTTCAGCCTGATCCCTGCAGGCCAGGCAGAGGGATTTCACTGGTGCACAAATCCATGTACCGGGCCTCTAGTTTATACACACACACACACACACACACACACACACACAAACACACATACATATAACAGAATGATCACCACAATAGTCTAGTTAACATCTGTCACCATACATAGTTATAGAATTTTTAAAAATATATTTTTATTTATTTCAGAGAGTAAGGAAGAGGGACAGAGAAACATCGATAATGAGAGAAAATCACTGATTGACTCCCTCCTGCACAGCCCCCATTGGGGATCACAACCTGGGCTTGTACCCTTGACCAGAATTGAACCTGGGACCCTTCAGTCTGCAGGCCCAAGCTTTATTCATTGAGCCAAACTGACCAGGGCCAGAATTTTTTTTTTAAACTTTTAAGATTTACTCACTTATCAATTTTCAAATAATGAAATTCAAAACTTTTGAAGAAAAATCATGTTTATCTCTCTTTTTCACAGTTTTTTTTTTTTTTTTTTTTCATTCTTTCTTTCTTTCCCAACTGAGCTTCTCTCCACTCCTGCAGCCATTACTCTTGTGGCAAAATTTTCATATTACTTGGTCTGGTGCACCCTCCCTGCGGGCCGCTGGATTGGGGTGCTCACAGTGATGTGGTATGTGTACACACTCTTCATTAATCCATCTTTATCAAATATCTTTAAGAGAAACACTTCTCAAAGGAAGAACCATTGGAGGTTTTAAAAAATAAATTATAGGTTATTTATTTCTGCTCAAAACAAAAGAATTACTCAAAATGAAAATATAGGCAGATGTCACCAATAAGCAATTACTACAAAATACAAAAGACTAAGGAGAACAAAAATGTTGCTCTTTAACCTTATACTTTCATCGACAGAATCAACCAAAGAAAGAAGGTAAGCTGGCTATTAAGCTGTTTAAAAATCTCCCCAGGTCAGCATGTGACCCAGCAGGGAGAGGTTCAAAAAAATACAGCCTTTCTTTTTCCCCCTAACAACCTGGTTTGTTTCCACTTTTTCCCTTAAAGACACATCCTCACAGCTAGCAGCTCTTTCAATCATTTACTTTGGACGCCTGCTTGAGAAGAAATGATCTTGCTCATGCAGATGAGTTTGCCAGACTTGTGTGTACTTTCCAGTCTCAGGCCCTTTATTGTTCTGGTTGAAACTTGACCCTTTGAAATGGATACCAGGACATCAGAAAGCGAATTAAAAGAAAAAAGTTGCAGTCAAGGGAACAAAAACTGTAGAAACTTTTCAAAATCAAACTTTTTCCTCTGCTCATCCCCTAAATAAGCCTGTCTGTCACAAAACTGTATCTCATGTTACAAAGTAACAACCTACCCTAAGAGTCAATTAATATAAAATATTAAGACTCACACAATAAAACAGTATCATTAGTTGTATTATCTAATCTAATAAATATATGTTACATTTGCCTTAGGAGTAGATTGCCAAGACAGATCTCAATCAAAACAGTTTTTCACTCTATTATCTCAACCTGATTAAATAGTACTAAGTAAACTACTTTTTTAAAACAACAATTTCAGTCTGTAATAATTACTTTTAGAAAACATTTTGTACACACTTAAACAAGCCAAGCCAAACAAAAATATTAAGTTCTTATCTATAATTTCAAAGTGAGAGGGGATGAAATTTTATTTTGATCTTTTCAACTTTGATGAAATTTTACCATTTTGTTAAGAACAGAAAGTCTGATAAAAATAAATAACCCAATGGCCTTATTTTTTATTTTTCCAAAGGAGGAATTCAATTTTGAAGACCTGCTAGTAAGTTTGCCACTAAGAGGTTGTATATTAAACCTAAAAATTCTGTTTCTCTTTACATTCTAGGGGTGGGGATGTGGTGGGGGGGGAAACCCTGATAAATCACATCAAACTGCAGCTTACATGGTTTGTTATTTCACAATCTAAAATGCTGTAAAATTATACTCCCAAAGAAGTCCTATTTTGTAATTCTTCTTTACCAGTAAAATATTAATTTAAAAATGTATTAGTACTATACATAACTCATAAGGCTATGCCAGTCCTATAATTATTACAATTTGAATTTTCTCATGGTATTCTTTCAGTTTTGAGCTAGATTAATTAATAGGTCTGGCACAAACTCAAAATGAGAATACCCAAATTGCCACATGAGATTATTAAAAGGCTCTGAAACACAACCAATCAAGCTTTCAAAATATACCCAAGCTAATACCAAACTGGGAGAAAATAATTATGGAAGTTTAACTGAACTTGACAGAAAAATTAAGTAAAATAAAAAATAAATGGCTTTTTAATTCCTGATACCATTGTACAGTGTTTTCCAAAATACATTTTCCTTAGAAAACTATCTCCGTCCATTGTTTTCACTTACTTTAAGAAGTATCTCTGACCAGAAGACGTCTTTGCCATCTCCCAGCCCGCTGGCAGAGGTACATCATCAGGAATTTCAAAAGAAGACTGCCGAAGGTGCTGAGCAGTGGGGGTGGCTGCCGGGCCAGAGACGACTCCTGTGGGGGTCAGGGTCCCAGGAGACACCGCTCCCAGCTGCAGCGAGGCTGGAGAGGAATGGGCCCGAACATGCTGTGGAGTCAGGGCTCCTGCAGTGCCTGCATCAGTACTGGCCTATAGGAATATTAAAATGAAATCCTTAGAATTGTTTTTAAGTAGTCCCTTTAAATTTCCTAGACAGACTTTCATTGCAACCAAATATCTAAGTACCAAAGGCAAATTTCAACTTTTAATGTGACATCGAGCAATACAGGTATGCAGGTGGATATTTTTCAAGGTTTTATGTAATTGTAATATGTACTTTTACATTTATAATTTTGTTGATGAGAAATATATCTAAGTGAATTTTCTATCCACTACACTTTGATGTGCTCTTTCTACATATTTTAAAGACAAATTGTACAGAATAAATTAATAGATTTTGAATTTTAAAACCTAATTTCTATAAGGTCAATGAAGTATGGGTGCTTTCCCAAGTTTTAAAATGTTCCAGGTATAAATGTAAGCCAAGGAACATAACTGCAATTTTTTTCACTAGTTAATGTTTTTCCTAAGCTAAACCCTAAACACATGACAACGGTCATTTTTTCTTTTCTCATCATGGACAAATGACATCAGTAAAACAACCATCACAAGTTATATAACTTACAATGAATGCAAAAGATTTAGAACTAGCCAAATGTTCTTAAAAGCCACATAACAAATAAAAATCCAACTATATTATCTGTACCTAGATAATAAAGATGTCAACAGTTCCATTACAATATAACTTAAGAACTTACACACTTACACATACATATACATATGAATGAATTTACATCCAATAGTTTGTGAATATTCTTTACAACCCACACACTATTCATAATTCGGTTATTTGAATTCCATTATTAGAATTAGGGGTTGATTATCAAAAAGTTAGAATTTCATATATGCAAGGAAGGGAGAGGCATTTATGCCTTAAAATCATGTACATTTCTGAGTTTCCAATCAGAATATATTTGAATTAGGAAATCATCAGCAAAAATAAAACTTACAGATGCACATCACTTAAGAAATTTATTAAAAACAAACAAATCTATATTAGACAATTAATAGCATAAACCAATAAACTCCTGGATATAAATTTTTGTGCAATTAGAGTATACTTTTTAGTTGCAATTGCATGTAGGTGCCACAAAATGGGGAATTCGATCTTCTCCTGTGTGTAGTGTGCTTTCAAAACATGTTAACTAGCAGCATAACCCTATAGAGTGCAATGCCAACACACATTTTCCCATGAGTCCAGAAACCCACTTCCAGGAGTAAAAGAAAAAAGCATAAAGCCTACTTCTTACAAACTGAAGCATTTAAACAAACAGCTAAACTGTTTTTTCCTTTCTCCTTCTTAACCCAGGTTTTTGCCAGCAGGTCAAGTGAGTTTTTCTGAATTCCAAAAATCCCTTGGTCTGAGGCAGGAGAACATACAACAAACGGGCTTGCAAGTAGGTGGGGGGAGGGGGGGGGGACGGGAATGGGGCGACAACTCTTCACTCAAGTTACAGCCCCAGCGAACGAACTCCACCTCAGTCTCTGGAAAACCAATTAACTTTTGGGCAAAGTTCCTAAGCTGAAAGTTAGCCTGAAGCAAGTTCTTTTTTTTTCTCTTTCTTTCTTCTTCTTCTTTTTTTTTTTTTAATTAAGAAACAAAGGAAAAACCTACACGAAACAGACCGCCTGGGACCTATCGGAATGTTAGTTAGCATGGCTCTAACCGTTTCACTTCCATGGCTGCTGCACCAAAGTGGACAAAATAATCGACCGCCGTGCATGGGACACAGCCGCGCTCCTAGCCTCGGCAAAAGAAACTAAAAAGCAATGGCGAACGGGCCTCGCATTAGTCATCGCTTCCCAAACAGTAACTTTTCATCACAGCCCGAACCAGGCAGGACTCAGCCTATGAGTCAACCTGCGGCGGCGCGTTACCGCGGCTCGTGCTGCAGCCCCGCGCCCCGCAGATGCAGCTCGTCTCCCCGCGTTTCGGCGGATTGCAAATAATAGCCTGCACCCGGGGGATCTCCACGGGAGCCTTCTAAGTCCGATGCGAGCGAGCGAGCGAGCGAGCCTGCCCCATAGAGTTTCCAAGGGAACTAGGGGAAGAAGACAAGGGGGGTGAAAAGCACTGAACTCCATACACAACTTCCAGGAAAGTCTGGGTCCCGAAATCAGAGTTTAAGGGCCGGGCCCCCCTCTTCCCCCCCCCCCCCCCCCCGCGCGCGGAAAAGAAACGCTTTTGGGAGCGGGAGCGGGAGGAGCAGCCCGAAACCGCAGGGACTGGTCCCACCCCCGCCCCTCCTGGACGCCGGGAAACGAAGAGAACAATTAAGTGCCCCCCACCCCCATCCCCGCCCCCGCGAGGCCCCCGGGAAAGGGGGATGGGGCCCCGCTGGCAGCGCACCCACGGGGACGCCGGGCGCCCCCTCCCCCCGGCGGCGGCGGCGGCGGCGCGCGCATTGTGCAGCCCACCGCGGCCTCCCCACCCCCCTTCCTGCCGACACCTCCCCCGCCGGCCCGCCGGCCTCCCGGGAGCCCCGGGAAGAAAGGAAAGAAAGGAAAGGAAGGAAGAAGAAGGGGAAAGCACGCCCCCCGCGGCTGGCAACCGCAGAGCCCCAACTCGGAGCGGAAAAACAAATCTCGGCCCGGGACTCCGGGAGGAGCGGGCGCGGGCACCTCCCGGGTCTCCTCCGGGGCCCCCGCCGCCGCCGCTCCAGCCCCGCTAGAGCCCCCCCCCCCCGGCCCCCTCCTTCCCTTCCTCCCTCCCCCCCCACTCCGTCCCGGGCCCGGGGCCGCCGGGCGGCGCGGTTACCTGTCGGGAGTGGGACTTGGGCTCCGGCGGCTTGAAGAAGGAGTCGGGCAGCTTCCGCAGCCTCATGGGCACCGTCTGGGGCACGTTGGCCGTCTTGGGGTTCATGACGGCGTTGAAAAGCGCCTCCAGGTCGGTCTCCGAGTCCCCCCGGACGTGCACGATCTGGTGTCCGGCCGGCGGGGCCTGCGGGGCGGCCTGGGAGCCCGGCGGCGCGGGCGGCGGCTGCCCCGGCCCGGACGGCGGGCCCTGGCCCTGCGGCGGGGGCTGCGCGGGCGGCTGCCCCGGGCCCTGCGGGGCCGGCGGCGGCGGCTGCTGCCCGGGATCCATGGCTCCTGCTTCCCCGGCGCGCACCCCGGACCAGGCGGGCGAGGGGAGGCTCCGCCCGGCGCCCCGGAGACTCGACGGGCCGCCCGGACGCGAAGGCGGCGGCGGAGGAGGCGGGCGGGCGGGCGGCGCTGGGCGGCGGAGCGAAGCGGCGCTGCGCTCAGGGCCGGGGGGCCTCGCGGCGGCCCCGCATCCCCGCCCGGCGCCTCCGCCCCCGCCCGGCCCCGGCCCCGGCCCCCTGGCCTGGCGGCTGCGCCTCGGGAGGGGCTGCGCGGCCGGCCGGCTGGACCCGCGGCGTCGGGGACCTGGCTGCCCTGCGCTCCCGGACGGACGGGCGGGCGGGCGGGCGGGCGGGCGGACGCGGGGCGGCTGGCGGCCTGTGCCTTCCTCCTCCCTTTTTCTCTCTCTTAACTTCCTTCCCCGGTTCCTCCTTCCTTCCTTCCTTCCTCCCTTTCTTTCCCCCGCGGCGGCGGCGCCCGACTGAGACACCCGCCCGCCGCGGACGCCAAAACTAAAGTTGAGAGAAGCGCCCGCCCGCGCCGCCCGCCGGCCCCGCCCCCTCGCGGCTCTTCCTTCCTCCGCGCGCCCGCCCGCGCCGGATCCGGGCCGAGGGGGCGCTCCCCGCGGCCGCCGCCGCCGCATTCCTGCGCACGCCGCCCCCGCCACGTGACCGCCGCCGGCCCGCCCGCCTGGCCCCGCCAGGCCGGGGGCCCCGGTCCGCCCCGCTCCGGCCGGGGTGGGAGCCCGGTCTCCGCGGAGGACGCGGCCGCCCTTGGCCGCAGGAAGTCCGGCGCGGTCCCGGCCGGCCGGCCGGTCCTCGGGAAGGGTCCCCGGGGCTGCCCGTGGGCCCCGAGCTGCGCGCTGGGGTCAGTGTCCAACCCCCCGGGAGGTGCAAACCCACGGCCACTCGCCCGCGGGAGCTCCCCTCACCCCCAGCCGAGGGCCGTGCGGGGCCCAAGCCTCCGGGAGAGGTCGGAGTTCGCTGACAAACCCGCGAACAGGCACTGATTTGGATAAGAGTCCATTCTTTGTCAAGTCAACTTGATTTGTTTCACTTTGTGCAAAACCAACCCACCACCCCACCCACACCCCCACCCCCCTGCAAACGGATGAACGGTCACTGTGCTTCCAAGTTTGGAGAGTAAATCTGTGACTGGTGTGATTTACTTTAAAAAAAAAAACCAACAACAACAACAACAACAAAAAAAACAATATTGCCTTTAAAAAAAAAAAAACTGAAAACTTTTAACACTGAAACTTGCAACGTAGACCTGAAACCTCAGCGAAAGGAAGTCAGTGCTTATGGATTGCAAGGATTCCTCTGTGTACCTGCCTCTCTCTCGCCCTCCAGGGGACTGGAGTGCACCCCACCGCCCCACCCCCACCCCCTTCCTCATCCCTGTGCCTGGCACAGGGTGGACTCCGGTGAATGTCGGCTGAATAAGGAATGAGAGGAGCTCACCCCAGCCACCTGGTTGTCTATGTGAAATCAAAGCAATGAAAAAAAAACAAAACACACTTTTAATTCATACATTCTGATTTTTGAAATAAGCAACTTTGTTGAGCTATAAACAGACTATGGGGCTCATCCATTTAAGCAACTCTGTGTTTTTAGTATATTCACAGGATTGTGCAACATCGCTCTGATTTTAAACCCGCCAGCCCATTCTTAAAGAAGCCTAACTTGTTTTAATGATTTTGTCTGCAGCGCCAGGGGAGCAGATGTATAAATAGGTTTAAGCAAGAAAAGGTCCCCTGAGCAAAAAGATAATCTCCCTCCAGCCAGGACATGCCCAGGAGAGTTCTGAGGAAGGATCTGGATCACTTGGTGTGAGAGGGTGGGGCCCGGGGGAAAGAGGCTTGGGGCCCTCAAGATTCTAAAGCAGGGTTCTTCTGCTCAACTGCTCTGGACCCCAATTTCATCTGAAGGAAGGGATTTCCCCTTGGTGAAGCCCCCAATGCTCCTTAGATTTATCTCTACCCCATACCAACCTGTTAAGTGCATTTAACTATACACGTGTAGGTTCTGGAGTTACAGCGATCTGAGTTCAGATCCCAGTTCCACCATTTACCAGCTGTGAGGCATTGGGCAAGTTACTTATTACCTGTTCTTTAATTTCTTTAATATTGTGGTCACCGGTAATAACAGCCACTTCATATGTGGAGGCATTAAATGAGTCAGTGGACATAAAATAAGTACTTAGCTCAGGTTTTGGCCTATGAGTTCTGCATAAATGTCAGCTCTCATTGTCCAGGTTCATAGTTTACTTCACATGTAGTGAAGTAACTTTTGCGGGAACTTCTCCCCGACCCCCCCTCCCCTTCCCCCCATGATCCTGTTGGCAGTCCCTTCCTCTCATGTCCAGTAATCAGCCCACACAAAGCCTTTGGGCAGAAACTACGCATTAAAAACTTCAACTGAAAAACAAACTTTCAAGAACCAAAGTGATTAAAAACCTGGGGTTGTAATGGAAGCTGTCCCTTAACTAGAGCATTTACAACTACAAACACTATAATTAAAGGGCTTAGGGTACCCAGAGGTTGCTTTGTTCAATATTGTTTCACCTGCCATTAAAATGAGAACAAAATTGCTTTGATAAGTGGATTAAAAGACTGTTTGCAGTGATTTTATGCTCTATAAGCACTGCTGAAGCATCGACCAAGATTTTGTAGTTTACTATGCCTCATCTATAAAATTTCAATCCGGGTTAGTGAGGAATAACAATAACATGTATTCATTCCTTTGCCCCTCTCATCCTTTCCAGCCCCACTTTGGGAGCAATTAGCAACTTAAGGGACCTTGAAATAGGGGGTTGCCTTCCTCAGACAAACATCCACCATTTGCTGGGTCACTTTCAATGTCCATGGAGATCACTAGTCTCGCATTTACCTGACTTCTCAGCTACAATGGACCCTCAACACCACGCCACTCCACTCACCTACTCCTGTGTCCACACCCCATCACTGTCCAGAAATCCTTCAGCTAGGAAATCCAACTATGTTATACTGTTCTCTCAAGAACCATTTGGTTCTCTGGTTTCATTACTCACCCCTCATTTATTATTAACCTCTCTCTTTCCCACCAACCTATCACTCCTGTTTTCCTTTCTTTCCCAATTCAGTTTAGAAATCATAACATTGCTTCAACCTCTCTTAGTCATCAAAGCCCTCCATTCCGTTGCCTCATGTATTTCAATGAATCTTTTAAACTAAATTTATCCAGTCATCTCTGTCTTTCCCATCCAATATCTAAGGTTAATGGGGGCTTGGACCCACATTTAGACATTTTGTCAAACTGAGATCATACTATCATCCCAGAGATCTATGCCTGCACCATTACAAGAAGGCATTCATTATAGAACGTTCAACTTTGTCCTGTTACCAAATGACACTCGCTTTAATACATTATGAATTAATGTTTTAAGTAAATTCTGTAATTATCTGGCAAATAGCACAGTTACACTGCATCGTAATCGTCGTGTTAATTGGATGAGTATAAACATTTGAAACATACCTTGGTTTTGTAACCCTCTCGACATTCCAGCATGTTGGAGTAGACTGGGGGCTAAGGAAGAGGAAGCCTCCAGCCCTCTCTTAACCTCTGGAAAGCTGGCTAACACCCAGGTTCCCGGGGGATGCTGAAGGGAATCAATCGCTCAGGCGCATGAATTGGTGTCTTTCTATATTCATAGTCTCTAGCCATCTTCCCTGTGTCTGCAATCAGCTTCTCGCTCACGTGACATGGCTATTCTAAACTTGACTGCTCTCCTCATCATGGTTATTCATCATCCCCTTACCCTTTAGAAAACCCCATCACCTCCAACTACTCAGAGAACGGAGACCACCATGCACCAAAGCCCCTACAAATCTTCCCCAAACCTACAGACACACACATACAAGACTTTGCTTGCACATGTACCATTTTTTGGAAAGAGCAATCCACGTGCTTGCTTTTCACTTCCTCAGCTTTTATTCATTTACCCTCTGACTCAACACATCCAAAATTGAACTCTTTACCTCTACCCTCTTCTACCTCCAACCACACACACACACCCTCCCAAGCCACATCCTCCTTCTGATTCACCATCTCAGTTAATAACATCATGATCCACTCCCTTATTCAAGCCATAAATGCCCTTTTAATCACTTCCCTTTAACATAAGTTAGCTACAACCAGTTAATTATTTGTGTTTTCTTTCGGATCTCTGAAGGTCTGCTGCCCAGCTTCACATTCATTTCTATTTAAGTTCCCTCCAGTTTGGTTTTTTTAAAAAAATATATTTTATTGATTTTTTTACAGAGAGGAAGGGAGAGGGATAGAGAGCCAGAAACATCGATGAGAGAGACATCGACCAGCTGCCTCCTGCACGCCCCCAACCGGGGATGTGCCCACAACCAATGTACATGCCCCCGACCGGAATCAAACCTAGGACCTTCCAGTCCGCAGGCCAACGCTCTATCCACTGAGCCAAACCGGTTTTGGTTTCCCACCAGTTTTTACAGAGCTTCCGAAATCATGTTCCTGCTTCTGTTTTTACATGGCTCCTTCTGATTTTATGGGACTCCTAGTTTTCCGTGGCTCCATCAGACTTCTACTATGGTATCAGAGTGATTTTTCTAACATGCGAGTCCGATGTGGTGTGAAACCATTCAGGACAAATAGTACCTTGACCATGGCATACAACCGTAACCATTCTAGTCCTTGCTTCTCTCCTCAACTAATCTCTTGCAACTCACCTATAAGTGTCATGTTTTCCGGTCTTACTGAACCACTTGTAATTCCCTAAATAAATCATTTTCCCTCTCCTCCTTTGCCTTCTGAACATGTGGTTCTCGCTTTCTGGAACTCCCTTTTCACCTCGTTTCCCTTGTACTCAGCCTCCAACCTGCGTACCTCCCTCTGACAAAAAGCCTCCTGGGCTTTCCCCTTCTCAGGGGTCCCCACCCCACAGACTCTGTGAGAGGCTTCTTTTCAGGGCTCTCACACAATCCACCCACCTCCTCCATCATGGCATTTACCATCGTTTTTTGTGTGATTGTTTATGTGTCTGTGTCTTTAAAGCTACAATTAGAAACCACCTCTTAGAGCCCTGCAGTGTGGCTCAGTGGGTGAGCGTCAACCATATACCAAGAAGTCTCCTGTTCAATTCCTGGTCAGAGCTCATGCCCCACATGTTCAGGATGTGGACTCAGTCCCCAGCAGGGAGGCAGCTGATCGGTGTTGATCTCTCTCTCTCTCTCATTGATGTTTCTCTCCCTTTCCCTACTCCTCTCCAGTAAATAAAACTTACATTTTTTTTAAAAAAAAAACAACAACAAAAACCTCTCATAGACGAGGAAACTGAAGAACAGAGAATTAAATAACTTGCCCAAAGTTGTACCGCTAGTATTTGATAGAACTGAATTTGAATCTATATTCCTGTTCCAGAGCTCAAATGCCCCATCAGGAATATTATATATTTAATTTCATAAGACAGTTCAAAAAGGTTATTCACAAATTTTTGAATGTAGGATTCAGGGGTGTAGAAACCCTGCCATTTAAGGAGTATTTTATTTTCTAT